CGCCAGCTGCCCACAGTGAATCTATTCATTAGGTCTTCCAAATGCATACAAACAAAATTTTTTAAAAATGCAACTTCTAGTCCTGTCTCGACCCTGGAATGTAGATATATTAAGTGGAGAAAGGCTTGACTACCATAGCAAATATCCACCTTGTCTGCTGCTTTAGGACAGAAGTTTACTTCTCTCTAACACACCAGTCTGGAGGTAGGCTGACCACGATGGGATTAGGAGAGTGCTGTGGTTTGTTTTTTGGGTTTTTTTTGGTACCAGGAATTGAACTCATGACCTCAGGCTTGTCAGGCAAGCGCTTACACTGCTGAGCTACATCATTAGCCCAAGTGCTGTGGTTTGAATGTGGCCCCAAAATCTCATGTGTTAGAAACATCCTCAGTGCTGCCAGGCGTGGTGACACATGCCTGTAATCCCAGCAGTTGGGAGGCTAAGGCAGGAGGACCTCTGTGAGTTCAAGGCCAGCCTGAACTGAATAGCTAGATCCTGTCTCAAAAAGAGGAAAAAAAGAAAGAAAGAAAAGAAAAGAAAAGAAAACATTCTCAATGCAAAAGTGTTAAGAGATGGGGCCCCTAAGATGTAATTAAGCCATGGGGACTTTGTCCTCAGGAATGGCTTAATGCTGTTATCATGTAACTGGGTTCCTTACCTCAAGAGTGGGTTTGTTATGAAAACAAGTTTGCTCCCTCACTTTCACAAATGCCTCCTTGCCCCTCCATCTTCTGCTGTGGGATTATTCTGTAAGAAAGCCATGCTAGGTGCATCTTGGATTTCTTCAGCCTCCAGAATTGTGAGAAATAAATTTCTTTTCTTAATGAATTACCCATTCTGTGGCATTCCTCTATAGCAGTGCCAAAAGGATGAAGACAAATGGGAAGACCAGGATGGGAACAGGGGAAGTTCTATCATCTTCAGCCAGCATCTTCTGCCACTGGCGTCAAATGGCCATCCTAGCTTTCACTATCATATCGTAATTCCAGATGCTGGCAAGAAGAAAATGCCCTTCCTTATAAATTGCAAACACTGATGCTCAAATCTCATCAACCATTCTTAGTCATGTGGTCACACTATCTGCCAAGGAAGCTGGGAACTACAATCTTGCACTTAACATTGTAGAGATTGGCTAGTAGAAGGTTTACTAGTACAGGAAGAGGGAGAGAGTTCATCCATCTGGCCATCCTGTAGAAAGAGCCCATTTATCACCCCTCAAATGGAGGCAAGTCTTTTCCACTTGAGTATAGCATACAGAATGTCTGAGGGAAGAGTAGCGTTACTAGGTCCTCCTGCTCTTGTGACTAATAAACTGAAAGGCAGATAAACCATGCCAATTAATCTTGATTGTCAGTTTGACTGAATTAAGAGACTCCCGGAGAAGTAATTGGATGGTGAGGGTACTAACCTTATCAACGAGTCAACCAGTTGATGAATTCATAGAAGAATAGGGTATTAGGAGGTAGGGACGGGTTAAAGAAAGTGGATCATGGGGGCATGACTTTGGGACTATACCTGTTCTCTGGCCCCTTCCTCTGTAGCTCTTCCCCTGCTCTCTGCTTCCTGGATGCCATGAGTTACGAATCTTTCCTGCTCTAGACTCTTCCTCTATGATGTTTCTGCCTTGGAGCCGGCCTGCCATGGGCTGAAACCTCAGAAACTCTGGGCCAAAATAAACCTCTCCTCCTTTAATTTGCAGGTATTGGGTATTATATCCTAGCAATGGAAAGAGTGACCAATACACTGTCATTCACATTCCCCATATACAACAGTGAGGGAAGAACAGAATCAAACTAAATCAAAACCTCCGCTTGTAATAGGAAAATAATGTCAAACATCCAGTGGCTACTGGGTCTTTGCAATTACCTAAATCCACCTAGACACATGTGACTTTTCTTGGGTCTGCTTTCTGGGAGGATCTCCCCTTCCCCTCTACCACGTACGTGTTCTCTGTCTCTGCCACCTGGAAGTTATTCCTTATCCTTTTTTGACTGTGACCACATGGAAGTACACATCTTTCTCACAAACTTTACGGCCTCTTCCCACTGGTGTAGATTTGAAGGTGAGGATAATTGAAGCAGAGGGTCAAATCAGGCTTTGCTGACCAGGTTTATGGTTTCTTTGCCAGTACAATGCCTCTGGAATCTTAGACAACTTCCGATTGGTTCCATGCTTGCGTAGCTACAGCCAATGGTTTTATGCACACATCATTCTTTATGTCAAGTTCCCTAGACTTGGTGTTCTTCCTGCTCTCCTCTCTCAAACAGGTGGTGACCTTCTTGAGGCTATTTGACAAAGCATGCCTGGCTGTAAAGGGAGCTCCCTTATTCTACTGTCTGCTCTTTGAGCTGGCTCTCACTGTCTATAGAAGAAACAGGGTGTGCTTGGAAAGGATTGGGATCCCAGGCTGCCTCTTCCAAATCACCTTTTACAGCTGCCTGAGCACGTCTCTCTTACACGACCTTCTTAATGCAGCAAACTGCAGCCAAGACACAATAGCCTGAGTATTTCCAACCAGCTTCCATGAGTTACAGGCTCTGTGGAAGACCCCCTCCCCGCAAAGACACACAATACTAGACCTAGAGGACCCATGTCCCTGATTCCCACCCCCAAGACCATGTCCTGAGTCACTTTCACAGGCACAGAGCAGGCTGGGCTCCTACCACTGTCTTTTTTTCTTTTTTAAACAATGCACTGTTCTCCATTTTCCACTCTTTGCTGAAGAGTCTTCCCGGACTGTGTCACCAAAACACAAGGGCCTCCTGATAGCACAGACCCTTTGTATCCATGTCAGAAAAGAGCTGGGCTGGACTCACACAGCTGTTTCACATGCATACTTCGTTCATCTCTAGCTCAGCGGTGGTCCTTTCATGGTCAAAAGATGTTGGTTGGATGTGATTAAAAAGCCTGTCATGGTGTCAGATCTGATTAAAGCTTCTGCTTGGCCCTTTGTTTATCAGATCACCCTGGAAATTGTTGCTTGTCTTCTCTGAGGCTGTTTCCATAAATACAAGATAAAGATGAAAACATTCTGTGACAGAGCCTGCCCATTGCCTCCTAAGTTGTCTTTTTTCTCTTCTTCCTTAGTAACTGAATCCCTTATATTTTACTTATATTTTACCTGGAACAGCTGCACACAACAAAGACTTACATCCCCAACCTTCCTTAAACCAATGCAGGGTTTCATGATTAAATTTGGCCAGTGCAGTGTCAGCGGAAGTGAAAGAGCAACTTCCACGTCTGGCCTTAAAGGAAAGAGGCATGAGTTCCCCTTTCTTTTTTTCCTTTCTTTTTTTTTTTTTTTTTTTTTTTGGTACTGGGAATCAAACTCAGGACCTTGCACTTGCCAGGCAGGTGCTTGTGCTACTGAGCTATATCCCCAGCCCTCCTTTTTCTTTTCTGCTGCCTGGAATGCTAGTGTGATGGCAGGAGCGAGAGTAACAACCCAAGATGAAAGAAGCTTTGAAGGGTTTCAGGATCACCCAGTATCACAGTATCACCAGTATCACAGTATCACTGTCTGTAAACTATTCTGTTAGCAAGAAAGAAACTTTCTGGTTTAAGGAATTCTGAAATTGGGTCTCTGTTATAGAAACAAAACATGCATTGTAACTAATGCAAAACTTGGGGCTGCCTAAAAGCCTCAAACAAGTGCCTTAGAGATTGAAGAACAGATAGCTAGGAAAGAGGCTATATCTCGGTAAACTCTTGACCATTCCAGTAAAACACAGGGTGTGTCTCTCCCTGTGGTGCTGTGGCAGTAGGTCATATGCTGGTGGTCTCTCCACTGTCAGAGACACGCCAATTAGCTGGGCCTTGCAAGGTTCATCTGCAGGGATCACACTTACACAGGCCGTGGGGATCCTGCACTACCTCTCTCTCACACACACACGAAGGAAAAGTCCTTTTCCTACTTTCTTTGCCTCTGCCTTTGCCACAGTCAGCACAGACACTGAGGGGTGACAGGAAAGACACTCGATAAACGCAGCAAGAAATCAAGTAGTAACCTGCCATGCATGTCCTGCAAGGTCCTGCAAGGTCCACACCAGTAACCCCAGCTACTTCAGGAGCTTGAGGCAAGAGAATCATAAATTCAAGGCAGCCTGAGCAGCTTAGCAAACTCTGTAACTCTGTTTAAAATAAATGATAAAAAGGGCTGAGGGTATATTTGAGCATAGGTTCGATCCCCAATGCTGAGAAAAGAAAAGAAAAGAGGGAAAGGAAAGGAGAGAAGGAAAAGAAAGAAAGAAAGAGAGAGAGAGAGAGAGAGAGAGAGAGAGAGAGAGAGAGAGAGAGAGAGAAAGAAAAAAAAGAAAGAAAGAAAGAAAGAAAGAAAGAAAGAAAGAAAGAAAGAAAGAAAGAAAGAAAGAAAAAGAAAGAAAGAAAGAAAGAAAGAAAGAAAGAAAGAAAGAAAGAAAGAAAGAAAGAAAAAGAAAGAAAGAAAGAAAGAAAGAAAAGAAAGAGGCTGGGGATTTAGCTCAGCAGCACAGCGCCTGCCTAGCAAGAACGAGGTCCTGGGTTCGAGTCCCAGTACCAAAAAAAGAAAGAACAAAAGAAAGAAAGAAAAAGAAAGGGCAAGACAGGAAAAGAAAACCAGTAATTTATTACTGATGTCCACTCCAGGGCCAGGGGCTGGGAAAGAAGAGGTTAGTAGGAGGAGAGGAAGGGAGGGGCATCAAAAGAGAAGCCAGTGCAGCTGAGTCAGCATTCCCTGTTGGGACACTGACTCAGGCTCCAGGAATGCCAAGGAAGGAGGTGGGCAGCCACTGAGCCAGGCTGGGATCCCATTGGCACAGGGCGATAGGGACAGTATTCACAGAGGGATGGGGGCTGGGGCTCCTCCACACCCAGACATCTCCCATGCACAGGTAGATCTCTCCGCCTGTGCATGTAGGTGGGCCACAAGCCCTCCAGGCCACCTGCACCTTTGAGGTGATGTGCACAGCTCCCCACCTGCCTGAGCTGCTCCCTCCATTCCCCGACCTGAGAAAGGGACTCACGCGGGGGACATCTGGATATGCACTGGCTGCGCTCCCAGGATCATTCACGAGACCCTCGTCCTGTCCCCTGTCCCGAACTGGTCACAAGTGCCAACCCTTGTTGAAGTTTGTGCAAGGAAGAAAGCTCAGCGTCTCCACCTCCCTTTCCCCTCCCACCGCGTCTGAGGAAGATGAGGGGCTCTAGGACTTGGCAAACCGACTTCCCCCGTGCCCATGCCCCGCAAGGTCCCAGCCGCCTCCCACAGCGGCGCCCTTCTAGTTTGTCCTCCGAGACTCCCACATAGCTGAGGCCCAGGCACCAGCTTTCTCAGGTGCGCCCCCTCCCTGCTCAGCCCGCCCCCAGGCTGCGGGGAGGGAGCAGCTGCACTGGCCGACCCCTCCCTCAGTCCCCGCCGCCTGACACCCAATCAGAGAGAAACCGATCCGGCCAGGCGGAGCGCCAGGGCCCGGCCCAGAATAGTGCTGCCCAGCGCGCGTCGCGCACTCGCTTGCGTCGGCTGAGGCTCAGGCTGAGGCTAGCTGCTTGGAGCCCGAGCTGGAGCGCACTCTGCGCAGGGTACTGGGGTCCCAGGGGGCCGGCGCTGGGACAGCAGGGCCCTGGAGCGCGGCGTGCTGATGTGTATGCGTGCATGTGTGAGTGAAAGCCTGCTGGCGTGTTTGTATTTCCTGTGTGTGAGCGTGGGTGCCCGCGTATACACGCTGTAATCTGTTTGGGTGTGCGCCTGTGTGGTCTTGTGTGTCTAGGAGCGGCTGGATGTGTGTTTACATGTGGCTGAGTGTGTTTGGGTGTGTGTTTAGGTACGTGTGTGTATGACTGTGTGTGCATGTATGTGCATATGTGTGCACACGAGTGTGTGTGCACGTGTGTGCAGTGACAGGGGGAGGCCCTGGGGATGGTGAAGTGTAACCCAGCCTTCAGACATTCCTCTCCTTGTATAGACCCCGTCCTGGAGCAGCCTTGCGGGACCTGAACAGCAAGGTAGGTGAATGTCCCTTCCCTGTGGGCCAGCTTTTTCTCTCACTGTCTTAGTCCCCCACCTTTCTGGAAACTTCAACTCCCAACCCCTAGCTGGGCTTTATCAGGAGAGCTCCTTCTCTGTTTCATTGTTTCTTTTTCCTCTTTCCCCATTCTGTGCCCCTCACCTCCTCTTTTCTCTTTTCTGAAGACCTGGACCCCAGTACTAACTTTACAGCTTCCTAGCTGTGTGATTTATGGCAAATTGCTTAACCTCTCTGAATTTCTGGTCCCTCACTAGTAAAATAAGGATGATGGTAATAATGCTTCCCTTATAATGCTGCTGAGTACAGAATGTGTTGGAGAAAAAGCCCTTTGGAAGTCTGCAAATGTAATTGTTAAGAATGCATTAATTGATTTCATTGTACTACTTCCTCTAACCAAGCAGGCCTTGTTCCCCCTTCCAGAGATGAGCTTTCTAGAGCAAGGTGATGGCCTCTTGTGGCCGTCACCAGCCATGAGCGCCAGCTCAGAAAGAATCTGTGGGAAACCTGGGGCCAAAACATCGTTGAGGACGAAGCAAGAGGCTGCAGAGGAGGGGGAGCCGCCAGGTCTGGGGGAAGGTGAGGCCAAGGCCAGGTCTGGGGAGGTGGGAGCCAGGGCAAGGGCTCTGTCTTGGATCCCTCCAAAGGCAGAGTTGCATCCAGCCCTCCATTGGCAGCCTCAGCCTCTCCGTACAGGAGAGAGCAGCTGCATAGCAGAGCCAGGGGCTTAGTGTGGTCACCTCAGAAAGATAGGACAGAGCTGCTGTCAAATGGGACTCTGATCCTTGGCTTCTCCCCTGCGCAGCACCCAGGCTTCCCAAGGCTGCTGTGGAGTCACTGAGACCGCACATGAGAATGTGTTTTGGAAGATGAAGTTACTGTCATCTCTTCCTTTTCCCCACAACAGGTGCCCAGTCCAGGCCGGCTGCTGAGTCCACCGGGCTAGAGGCCACATTCCCCAAGGCCACGCCCTTGGCCCAAGATGTTCCCTTGGCCAGGACAGGGACCCCACCCACAGGGTGGGACCTCCTCCCTGCTAACTGTGCAGCCTCCACCGTGGGCTCCAGCACAGATGATCTGGAGTTCCCCATGGAGTTTCCAGCCCCAGAAGCCTGGGACTGGGACCTCAAAGATCTGGAGGAAGACAGCCCTGCCCCGAGCCCACCCCCACAGGTCCCTTTACTCAGCCTCGGCTGGGATGACGAGTTGCAGAAGCCGGGGGCACAGGTCTACATGCACTTCATGCAGGAGCACACCTGCTATGATGCCATGGCGACCAGCTCCAAACTGGTCATCTTCGACACCATGCTGGAGGTGAGCCCCCAGCTCCACCCAGCCTGAGTCCAGCCTGCATTCCAACAGCATGGCAGCCACCACGCATGTCTCCAGGATGCCTGCAGAGCCATGCACCCCTGTGGGACTCTTTCAAAGATCCTTTCTTAGCACCATGGAGACCAGTGGGGAGAGAGAGGGATTCTATGCTCTGTGAGAATGCTCTAATTGTCATCACAGCTCTGCCACTTAGTATCTACGAAACCGTGAGTAGGTCACTTCCCCCCAGCTTCTCTAAAATAGGGATCAGAATGCTTGCTTTTCTCTGCATGTTTCAGAGGAATCTCATGATAAGCCACCACAAAGCAGGAGAGCTTTGCAAACTGTAGGATATGTATAAGACACTGCAGAGCCACTCAGGACAAAGATTAGGGAACTTTCAGTACTAACAAAAATAGGATGAGCTCTAGTATGGGTAGCTCTAGTATACTACCTACTCTTCCATTAAGCTAAGTTACCAAATGTCTGAACTTCTATTCTTGTCATTGTTACAGCTTAGCAAAGGGTGTGTGTCTGCCTGAAGCATGGTGTGTGTGTGTGTGTGTGTGTGTGTTATCTACAGTATACAATTTAGCTCTACTAGTTCATGAACAAGTATATTTACTTCAACACCTTGGTATTAATTCTAGTGTTTTTTAGAAAGATATAAAGAGCATGTATAAGTAGCATTGCTTAGGATGAGGTTCAAAATGAGTCAATATAAAATTTATTTACAGAAAAAACTATGTTACTAGGCAAGTGTTATGTAAATAAGTATACCTCTAGTTTTTAGATTGGCAAACACTGTACTATGTTTATACACATGACTTCCAAGCGGAAACACTGAGTTAGTGTCTCACACACTGATATGTCTGGTGAGGGCGCCTCAGTGCCTCTGTTCATAAGCAGTCCTGCCCTCTGGCCAGTGTGTATCTGTACAGGAGCAAATGTGCCCAGCAGTGATCTTGTCCAGTGTGTTCCATGACATGGGCAAGACAGGCAGGGTCATGTCCAGGAGGACCTGGGAGAAAAGCCTCCATGGAAGAACCCTTGTGGGGACATAGGGAAGCAGCAGTGTACCCACTGAGGGGCTGTGATAGAGGAGGAGAGCCTCCTGGAACTCAGCCCCCTCCAACTAGTCTTTCCTGCCTTTCAGATCAAGAAGGCCTTCTTTGCCCTGGTGGCCAATGGCGTTCGGGCAGCACCTCTATGGGACAGCAAGAAGCAGAGTTTTGTGGGTAAGGAGAGGCTGGGAAGACAGAGGTAGTGGGAGTGGAAAAGGGACACTGCACATGGTACAAGGGTAGGGATACGGCAAAGGCCTTAGTCTGCCTACACCCCAAGGCTCTCAGCCAGCCTTTTCCCTGTGCCTTGTCTGCCCCTCAGGGATGCTCACCATCACAGACTTCATCCTGGTGCTGCACCGATACTACAGATCCCCCCTGGTGAGGAGCGGGCTGGGGCGGCCAGTGGCCAGGGTGGAGCAGAGGGGAGTCTTCGGGGAGCCTGGTGCTTGTAGCCCCATGTCTGACTCCCAGAGTCCTGTTGATGCTTCTAGGTCCAGATCTATGAGATTGAGCAACATAAGATAGAGACCTGGAGGGGTGAGTAGAGAGAGCAGCTATGGGGTTGAGGATGGTGCCCAAGGCCGAAGCTGAGAGTGGGCTGTGGGGAGTTCCTGGGGTGCAGGGCAATAGGGAGCCTCAGGTGCCTACTATGAGGGGAACAGTTGGGCTGTAGAGTGAGGTGGCTGCAGCTCCCTTGGCTTGACTGCTTTTTCTGCAGAGATCTACCTTCAAGGCTGCTTCAAGCCTCTGGTCTCCATCTCTCCCAGTGATAGGTAAGCATCCCTACCTCTTCTTACAGTCTCCTTCCCCCTTGCCTTCCTCCCTCCACTCAGCCCTGAATGCCCCGCCTCATCCTAGGAAACAGACAGACAGGCAGGCTTGGCTCCTGTCCTCCTATTTAGGAGGCAGGGATGGAGGGCGTCTCTCCCCAGGCTGCCCCAGGTTCACTGCTTTCATCTCCCCAGCCTGTTCGAAGCTGTCTATGCTCTCATCAAGAACCGGATCCATCGCCTGCCGGTGCTGGACCCAGTGTCAGGCACAGTGCTCTACATCCTCACACACAAGCGGCTGCTCAAATTCCTGCACATCTTTGTGAGCCCAGGCCCAGTGGGGAAGAGGAAGGGGCAGCCACCGGGAGGCCACAGAGGAGCCGTCTCCAAACCTCGGGGGAGGGGGAGGAACTGGGAGCCCTCTGCAGGCCGCTTGACCTTTGGTCACCTGGCTGTCCTCACCCCACCCAGGGGACCCTGATACCCCGGCCCTCCTTCCTCTGCCGCACTATCCAAGATTTGGGCATCGGCACATTCCGAGATTTGGCCGTGGTGCTAGAGACAGCGCCCGTTCTGACCGCACTGGACATCTTTGTGGATCGGCGAGTGTCGGCACTGCCTGTAGTCAATGAATCTGGTACCAGCACCAGGGCAAGAGGCTCTGGCCAGGGCCGGGGGAGGAGGAGGGCATGGTGGGGAGAACACAGGAGAGACGGGCTGAGGATGGGCGGGAGTCTATGTGGCATCAGCTTGGAGACTCGGGGTAGAGGGCGTTAGGAGTCTCTGCCTTTGAACTTTGGACCAACTTCTTTCTGCCTCAGTTTCCTCCTATGTGGAGCAAGACTCATAGCAGCCATGCTGATTACAATGGAGGATTTATAAAATTAAATGCAATGAACTGAGTGTGTGAGAAGAAATAGCTGGAGGCCAGGTTTTTTGTTTAGCTCATCCCAGCCAGACCTCAATTTTCTGTTCTGGAAAAGGTCAGAGGAACTGTAAAACTATTTCTTTCATCGGACTATAGGCTGTAAAAGTATGGCAAAATTAAATTTTGCAATAATATTTTACATAATAAGCTACACATCAGGAAGTGCTTTGTATTTACTTTTATTTTATTCTTGTGATGCTGGAGACTAGACTGAAACAGCACTGAACTAATATCCTCAGCACTTTATTTTTATTTTTTAATTTTGAGGCAGGGTCTTGCAAAGTTGCCTAGGCTGACCTCGTACATACAGTCCTTCTGCTTCAGCCTGGATTTATTTTTTATTATAAAATTTTAAATGAATAAAAATGGTAGAAAAATTACATAATGAACTCCATATATCTGTTGCCTGGATTAACCACTGTTAACATACCACAATAATCAGTTCATCTTGATTTCTGAAGAAATTTAAGTTACTTAACCACATCAGTCAGTATCTCTTAAATGTAATTTTTATTGTATTTACCTTGCCTAACAAAATTATGAATCATGTATTAATGCTGTCTGGTATTCTCACTTCTCTATTTCCCTAAGAACGCCTTTTTTTTACAGTTGATTTATTCAAACTTGGATCCAAGTTAAAGTTCATATTTTGCATTTCTGTCTTTTGTCCCTTAAGTCTGTTTAAATTTAGAACTGTTCCCTTCCCCCTTCATTTCCATGACACATGTGAATAGAAGAGCCTGTATCAGTTGTCCTGCAGAATATGGCACTTCCACACTTGTCCATTTGCTTTCTACAGGTGGCCTTTACCTTGTTCCTCTGTTCCTGATTCCTGTAAACTAAAAATGATATCTAAAGGCTTAATGAACTGAGACTGTACACTTGAGGCTAGAATATTTCATAGGTGATGTTATGCTCCCGCATAGCATCTCATCAGTAGGCACAAGGTCAGGCTGTCTCCCTTTCGGTGATGCTAAGCTGATCTGTGGTTCAGGTATGGGCAGCCTGATACCTTATTACAAAGCCAGCAAGCAGCCTAGGAGATGTCAAGTTCATTACAAAAACCTGCCCGAGCCCCTTTGCATAGCATCCTGGTTCTGATGTGGGCCTCTTCCCTCTCTTTCCCCTCCTTCCTCCTGCAGGTCAGGTTGTGGGCCTCTATTCCCGCTTTGATGTGATTGTAAGTATCTGTGGGGACTCTGGGGGTGCTTCGGGGAGGCTGCAGTATGAGGAAGAATGGGGAGTATCTGTGGACAGGTTTTACAAGTGTGTAGAGGGTGCTGTTTGTGGGACTGGAACTTGGGTGAGGGGTAACCCACAGCTCTCCTTCTCTCCCTGCCCCAGCATCTGGCTGCCCAGAAAACCTACAACCACCTAGACATGAGTGTAGGAGAAGCCCTGAGGCAGAGGACACTGTGTCTTGAGGGAGTGCTTTCCTGCCAGCCCCACGAGACCCTGGGGGAAGTGATTGACAGAATTGCTAGTGAGCAGGTACCCTGTGCCCCTGCACGTGTGTCCCCAACACGGACAGCCCCATTCTTCCACATGCAGCTCTGACCTTCCCAATCTTTGGGCACCTGGCCTGCCCTCCCATTTCACGACCAACTCTTGGCAGCCACAATGGTATGCACCAGGACCTGTCCATTGAGCCCTTGTGCCAAGGGCCACAGCCGGCTGAGTGATCAGAGCCATCGCCAGCTCATTCCCTGGAGACACCCTCTAGCTCCTGTGTTCCTTGGACCAGCCTTGGTGCCACAGCTGCCCAGAGGCTTTGCCCCTCACTGAACCCTCTGGACCCACAGGTGCACCGGCTGGTGTTAGTGGATGAAACCCAGCATCTCCTGGGCGTGGTATCACTCTCGGACATCCTTCAGGCACTGGTGCTCAGCCCTGCTGGCATCGACGCCCTCAGTGCCTGAGAATACCCAAGTCCTCACTCCCAGGCCACCCTCCACACTTGGAAGTCAATGAAGGGAGCCGAGGGACTTAGCCTTCACCTTCCTCACCCCTGGTTGCTGGTTCAGCTCTGGTTCAGGTAGGCTCGGCCTCAGGCCATTGGATCAACCCCTCTGTCCTTCTGGGCTCCCAGGTCTCACACTGGGACACCCCAAGAGTGACAGTGGTCCTGCTAATAGCTGATTAGTCCCATGAAAACTGCAAAGGCCACCACTTTGTCCACTCCCACCTGAGGTCACAGAGGCCTCCTAGAATGGGTGGACAAAGACAGGGTAAAGGCTCTCCGGGAAGGTTTAGGTGGTGCTGTCTCACCATTCCGTTCCCCCAGGCTGGGCATTGCATAGAAGGAAGCAAGCTAATAAACCTTTGTTGAATGAAATTTCCATCTTCAGTAAGATCTAAGGCTTACATGGGGGAGCTTCCACCTAGTGCGCAGTCTCAGATATTTGCTAGCGGTGTGCAGAAGCACAGAGTCCACCTAGTTGGCAGTGGAGGATAAGACTCCCTCACTGGGAAGATGACTCTCCCTCCCTCTTTAGCTACCTTCTTCCCTTCTCTTCCTTACAGGCTTCTCCAGCCCTTCCCAGTCACCCTTGTCCAGCCTGTTGTCCAGAAGCCCTCGGACACACCCAGTTCACCATGGGATGACGACATTAAGGACAGCACTGAGTCACGCCTGGAGGTGCTTGACCCAGAGGCACTGGGATTACCCTGGGGCCACCCATGCCCCACACCCACTCGTATACCCTACCCCTAACCTGGGGTGAGACTGGTCGCTGGGGCACAGCAAGCCTGAAGCCCATAGCTACAGTCATGGGCTCTAGATCTCTCCTCTTCTGGATGATGTTCAGCTCATACCCTAGCCCTGGGAGTCCCAGCTGTTCCTTCCCTCTGGGAACCACTGTGGTGGCACTGCCCTCCTACTCTCCTGGCATGGTCATTTCCGGGATGCTGGGGTTCACTCTTTCCAGAGTTGCCTGGTGGAGCAGGATCCTCTCTCCACTATTGTCCAGAAAACCCTTTAGCTCTTGCCAGTGGACAGCGTTCTTTCTTCCCAGTGACCGTGGCCTTGTACTCAGATCTCTGAGAATGAGCAGTCAACAAAACAAAAACGAAAAGAATAAGCCGCGCACTTGGATTTGACCTCACTCAAAATGCTAGACATTTAACCTGAACTCGTGCAAGATCTCTGTGCTTTGTGAATTCAAAGACATGAAGGAGACCCCACAGTTGGCAAAACAGCAAGTGGCTTTTCTTTGGCACATAGAACAGTATTCCGCTGACTTTTAAAATCTTTTATTTATAACAAAACTGTAAAGAAAATATTTATGAACTAAGTACTTGTATAGTACATAAAGTCCGGTCTATGAACTCCAATCTGCAAAAAAAAACACCATTATTTTTCTCACACTGAATGAAATTTCTATTGTGAATCCCATTGCACCAAGTGGAAGAAATTAACTTCAGTCCATGGAGAGTCTCTTCCTCATCTTTACCTGGGGCTGTTTGTGGGGGAAGCTTTAAGTAATGTAAAGCTCTGTCGGTCAGTCATCAGCTCCCATCTATGCCAGCACCTGCTAAAAACTCCCCATTCTCATCGCATTATCAGGTGGCGGTCACTGATGTGCTCAGTCACCACCATGTGGCCCTCACTCCCAGAGCCCCTTTGGTCCTACCTGTGCTCGGGACATGCAGTTCATTGTGCTTCTTGGTCCCACACCCCTCTCGGCTTTAGGAAGCCCCATCAGGCTGTTACAGTGGGCAGCACATTCTACTCTGTGCTCCACTGTTTTCCCAGGCTTTACCCAGGAACTTGGGGCCCAGGACTCTTCTACCCTTGACACTCCAAATCTGTATGGGGAACTTGTCATGCATATCCCCACCCTTCAGGCTGGTCCCCCTTCACAAGGGCTCAGATGTGTCTACAGAAGGGTCTCTTTGTTCCCCTGCCTACCCCAGCCCATGAAATCTTTGCTAGTGGGGACGAGGGCCCTTTGTTCTCTGTCCCTGAAGTATTCTGCCAAGTCCACTCTGTGTCCTGAGCCAGTGCCACCCTACTGGATGACTGGGCTTTTGAGGTTCCAAAGCCAAGACTCGGCTTTGGAATTCGGCTTTCTGTCACCCTCCCCCGTGGCAATGGGCATTGCAGGTCCAGCTGTCCAGTGTGGGTAGGTTACTATTTCTAAAATGTGATCCTGACCCCATTACCTTCCTAAGCGTCAGAGTCAGACACTTGTGCTTGACTGTCAGGCAGTACATGAGGTATTTTCTCACCAACCACTTTGCCAGAATGCAAGGGTCAGTGCTGGCTCTGCTCTGTCCTACCCAGGAAGGTGCCGGCTTTGGAGCTAAATAGGAGGATGAAATGGGGTGATCGCTGGGTCCCGGCCAAGGAGGTTCTCTCAAGTGCTCTAAGGGAGCCTAAGGCAGGCTGGCTCCAATGATGGCTGCCTTTGGACAAGCATAACAGGTCAATCCCTTGACTCTGTGCCTCTGGGTAGAGACCCGCAGTGGTAACGGCAAGGCTAAAGACAGCACCTAGGTCTCTTTGCACCTTCCTGAGAGCACATGCGGCTCTGCGTGTCTGGGCTCGCTGTCCCAAGGACCCAGCAGATCTCCCCCTTGGGTATGTCTGTGAAGGACTACCCCACCCCACCGTCTCAGATCCCATCCAGCCCAAACCTTCACGGATGCCAGGAAAGAACTTTAGCATGGGCTGCGACTGCTTCCACCCTAGCGCAGAATGAAAGAAGTGTGCTTGTGTGCAGCCTGCCCTGCTATCTCCTCCTTCCTGCATATGAACCTGGGGCTGCCCTCAGCTCCTCCTCAGCGCCCCACCCGCTACATCCCTGGGTTTCTGTGGCCTCCAAGCTGGACTCCTGATTCTCCTTTGCTTTCCTGTCTTCCTCACAACTGTCTCAGTGCTCTTAACTCCAGATGTGCTCCAGGATGACCAAGAAAGCCTTATAAAAGGTGCAGAGCCCAAGGCTCATCTTAGAGATACTCATTTCCTGCTTTGGGGGTGGAGTCTGAGCAACTGTATTTATTTTCCATAAAAATTGGATATTTTGTGATGCGTTGTGGCTGTACTGGGACATAAGTATGAGTGGCTCATTCTCGTAGTAAAATCATTTGTCACATAACTGAGTCCGTCTATTATTTAATTATGACTAAAGTCTACAAGAAGCACTGACTAAGAGGAGAGGCATAACATAGAAGATGTATGATTTATTAGCGTCGGCAAAACTCTTCTCCCAAGCACCCTTAAATGAATACTTCTATGTATTTATTACAAAGTTATGTCTGTCCGTTCCATGATGACAATAAAGTTTGCACTTGACACACACATATTAAAACTGGAATCAGAAATAATAACCTGGGAATAAATCATTACCATGCCAACAAGCATTCAGAGCCAAAATATCTTTAGGACAGAAGCATGTAGCAGCCAGGGAACACTGGCACCTTATTTTTATTAATAAGAGTGCTGCCTGCTTGTTTAGGAAGATAGGGTGTTAGGCTGGGCATGGTGGCACATACCTGTAATCCCAGCACTCGGGAGGCAGAGGCAGGAGTATCACTGTGAGTTTGAGAGAAGCTTCGGCTACAAAGTGAGCTTAAGGCCAGCCTGAACTGCATAGAGAGACCCTGTCTCAAAAAAAAAAAAAAAAAAAAAAAAAAGACAGAGTGTTTTCTTAAAAAAAAATATTAATCCTAATTTGACCAACAAAGTCCAATTAGCTGGACTGAGAATAGCAAGATGTGCACTTTTCAGTTAAAGGTGTATCTGCTATTCTGAATCAATATCCACCTTTCTGCAGTTATCCTACACCTGCTCTTGTTCTTGTCTTACAGAGGAAGGTCAGAATGGGCCATCAGAAAGCCTCACTGTGATGTGTAGGGTGTAGGGACCTCAGAACTCTCAAACCCCAGAAGTGTGCCCCATCACCAGCCACAGAGGGGCTTTGTGCCAACCTCAAATGTGACTGCTCCTTTTCACTTGCAGAGAAGTGCAAGGGAAGGAATCGATCTATGGCATCACATCCATCCTGGAGCGCTTAGATGTGTTTGACTAAATCACTGTCAAAGAAAGGAAGCTTTTCATTTATAGTAAAGAAGTCTTTTCCAGGCATTGTGATGGCATATCCACAGGCAGGGTTTTCAATTCCCAAGGTAAATGAAAGAACTTGAGGCACACTTATGGTAGATATATTTTTCTGCAGGTACATTATCTACCTAGTTAAAAAAATCTTTTTAGAAAAGAAGAGAAAGAGAAAGACTCTTGATGGACATTCTGTATTTTGTTTGGCAGAGAAGTCTTTGATTTTCTTCCTCTGCTGAGTCTGTGGGTTTTCTGTTAGCAGCCTCTGTAGCTAAGGTTTCAGCTTTGTGTCTTTAACTCCTCACTTCTACTATCTTGTGTTTCTCACTTTCTTTTTAAAAAAAAATTTATGTGTATGTTTTTGAGACAGGGTCTCATGATGCAGTTCAGATTGGCCCTGAGCTCACTTTGTAGCCCAGGCTGGTCTCGAACTTGCAATGATCCTCCTGCCTCAGCCTCTTGAGTGCTGGGATTACAGGCTTATGCCACCATGCCTGGCTTGCACTTTCTATAGTTGGGATCTGGAATGTCCCCAGAGGGCCATGTGTTAAAGGTAGTTTCCAACTTATTACTACTGGGAGGTGGGGCCTAGGGAGAGGTCTTTAGGTCCCTGGGAGTACGTTATTGAAGGGGATAGTGGGATCTTGCCCCTTGCTAACTCTCTTTTGCTTGCAGGCCACCATGAGACAAACAGCTTTGCTGGAACTATGCAATCCCACCATAACATGCTGCCTTGCCACCGGCCCCAAACAAATGGGTCCAATCAGTCATAGACTGAAACTTCCAAAGCCTGTGAGCCAAAATAAACCTTTCCACCTTATAAGGTGATTATCACAGGTATTTTGTTACAGAATAGGAAAGCTGATTGTTATGGTTGATTCGTTGTGTCAATTTGAGAAGTTTGGAAGTTTAACTAAGTAATTCAGCAGTTCTACATCCTAGGGTGTAGAGGACTCATCCTAGGGTCAGTAGCCTACTTACAATATAAGGAAGGAAAGGTTTATTGAGTTTACAGTTTGTAGAGGTTTCAGTCCATACTCAGATGGTTCCAAGGCAGGGTGGCATGGCAGAGGGGTAACAGTTAATGACAGTGGAAGACAACAAAAGCAACAAGAGAAAAAAGAAGAGGAGCAAGCCTCTTTTCCTCCCTTATATTGTATGCAGGCTACCCACCCTAGGGCAAGTGTAGCACTCATACCCCCAATCCCCACACTAGGTAATGAACCAATCACAAATTTTAGATTCTGCCACCTCTGAAAAGCCTGACCCTCATGACCACATGAGGTTTTGGGGGGATATCCAGACACAAACCATAACATTCAGCTCCTGGACCCCCAAAGACTGATGTACCTCCCTTTATGCAAAAGGCATTTAGTCCATCTCTAAGAGTTGACAAAGTCCTAACAATTTCAGAATTGCTGAAAAGTCCAAGTCCCAGGTCTCTGAGATGTAAGGTAAACTCTTAGCTGTGAGCCACTGTACAAATGAAAAAAAAAATTTAACACTTCCAACATTCAATGGCACAAGATAAATATTTCCATTCCAAAAGTTACAAATAGAAGAATACAAAAGATTGGAACCAAAGCAAGTCCAAAATCCAGCAGCGCAAAAATTAAGTTCTGTAGTTCCATGTGCAGCATCTGAGGCAATCTGTGGCAAGTTATAAACTCCAAAGGGATAGAGTAGCCCTGCCCCTACATTTTGGAAGTTGTAGCTCCCATGGCTTCTCTCTTAGGGCCACTTTGCTCCCTCCTTGCAGGTTTCCTCAGACAATCCACCTTCCTGGCTTCTCCAAACTTATGGGGTCTCCACTGTACCTTTGGTTTCACACTCACAGCTTCACACACTGCCCTCTCAGGGGCACACTGCCTGACCTCCCAGACTTTCTGAAATTGGGGCAGAAGCTGCCTTAACTTCATAATTCTTGCTTTCTGCATACAACTAAAACCAGTGCCACATGGATGATGCCAACGTCTGCTGCCATCTGGAACAGTAGACAGGCTTCCCTCTCTCTTGGCTGTAGGGGTCGAGTGCCTGGATTGCTGAGCACTCTGAGTCCAGTTTTGAGGAACAAATTCTCTATGCTGCAGCCATTATGGAACCTGGTGCTCTGGGGCTTTCTTCTCAAAGAAGTCTTTCAATTTTGCAGTTGTGAGGCTGCAAAGGGTGGAGACTTGTTTCTTCAGGCATCTTTTATATTATCTTGTTCCTTCTTAGCAATCAAGATCTCCTCTGCTCTATCTTTGTAGTTGTTATGGTTTGTGTCTGCATGTCCCCCCAAATCCTCATGCAGTCATGGGGCAGGATTCTAGAGTTTATGACTGATTCATGGTGTAAGTGCTACACCTGCCCTGGAGCTGGTAGTTTGCATACAATGTAAGGGAGGGAAAGAGGTGGCTTGGCTACTTGCCTGCTTCTCTTGTGCTCTTGTTGCTTTTGCGATCTTCTACAGTCATGAACTTTTGTCCTCTGCCATGTATCCCTCTGCCCTGGAGCCAGTATGGACTAAAACCTCCACAAACTGTGAGCTAAATAAACCTTTCCTTGATTAATTAGTCCTCCACTCTTAATTTCAGTCTCAGGCAAAGTCTCAGGACACAAGCAAAATGCAGACAAACTTTCTGCCAAGCCATAACACCAAGCCTCTGGACTCCAACAGGCAACACAGTTCTTCCTCCCAGCAGAAACCTCCAGAACCTGGTCTTTACCTGTCAGATTTCTGCCAGCCTTTTGGTCTTCTGAGCTCTGACCAGACTCTCCCATACAGAACAGCCTAAGGTGTTCCAGCTCTACTGTTTCAGCTGGTATCTCCAAACCTTTCCAAATCTTTCCCACAAGCTATTCCCAATGGCCCATGAACCACATGGTCATGTATAGCTACAGCAACAACCCCACTTCTCTGGTACCAAATTCTGTTACTAACACAGTACTGTTGACAAAACTATTCAAGGTATCCTCTAAAATTGTTCCTACCCTCACTGAAGTATGAGGAAATATTGCTTGGTCTTTAATAAATTCTGCAAGGTTCCATTCATTCACCAGTATGCTTAGCTCTTGTTTCTACCCTTCATTTTTAATTTCCAGTTGGAGGTTGGAGGTTGGATTAAGGCCCTGGTTGGATTAAGGCCCTGGAGATGCATAAGCAAACAGCAAGCTGCCTCAGAACTTCCTGTGGGCCCTCCAGGGTGTTGGTTTGAATCTTCTGGAGGTACTGATTACATCAGAAGCTATATCTACATAATCTTATGAAGATTTTTTTTTGAGACAGGGTCTCATTATGTACTTCCAGCTGGCCTTCAATCCACTATATACCCCAGGCCGGCCTCAACTAATGTGGTAATCCTCCTGCCTTAGCCTCCTGAATGCTGGGATTACATGCGTGCACCACCACCTCCAGCTGAAGATGATTTCGTAGATTTTTTAAAAATCAAAATACAGTTCACATACATTAAATTTTACTCTTTCGAAGTATATGGTTTGGTGGTACTTGTGTAGTATATTCACAAAGTTGTACAACAATCACTGCTATCTATTCATCACCCTTCAAAGAAACTCTGTATCCATTAACAGTCATTTCCCATTTTCCCTTCCTATTCCCAGCCCCTGGCAACTACCAGTCGACTTTCTGTCTCTGTAGATTTGCCTATTCTGCATGTTTCATGTGCATGGAATATCATATGTGCTCTTTTGTGTTTGGTTTCTATTACTTAGCATGTTTTCAAGATTTATCTATAGTGTAGCATGAGTTAGTATTCATTCTTTTTATGGCTGAATAATATTCCATTGTACATACATATGTATATATGTATATATAATCCTCATGGAATTTTTATAAATATTGACTTGTTTTCTTCTTAAAATATTTTAATTGTAAAGTAAAGTAAATGTCATAGATATGTATAGCATACAATGTGTTTTGATATTTATACACATTGTGGAATGCCTAAATCAAACTATTCAACATAAGCTTTAGCATACAGGTTTATCCTGCATGTGTGTGTGTATGTGTGTGTGTGTGTGTGTGTGTGTGTGTGTGTGTATAAAGAACACTTAAAAACTAGTCTCTTGGCCATTTCAAGTATACATTATATTATTATTAACTATAGCTACCACGATGTATGATTCATTTCCTGAGGTCATTCTTTCTGAGATTTTGTGTCCTATGACAGACATTTCCCAGTTCCTTTTACCTCTAATCCAGCCTCTGGTAAGCACCATTTTATTCCATTTCTATGATTTGATGTTTTCAGATGCCTCCTATAAGATCCACAACTATAGGATAGTGTGATATTTTCCTTTCTGTGCCTAACTTATTTCTATTAACATAATGTTCTCCAGCCAGGTGTAGTGGCACATGCCTGTATCTCCAGCACTTGGGAGACTAAGCAGGAGGATCATCAAGAGTGGAGGTCAGCCTGGACTGTAGAGTGAGTTCAAGACTATCCTGAACTACATAGTGAAATCCTGTCTCAAAAAACCAACTAAGCAAGCAAGCAAGCAAGCAAACAAACAAACAAACAAACAAAAAAACAGCATAAAGTCTTCCAGGTTCATCCATGTTGCTACAAGGCTGACTACTGCCAGGTGTGGGGGCAAACATCTGTAATCCCAGCACTCAGGAGGCTGAAGCAGGAGGATTGCCTCAAGTTCGAGGTCAGCCTGGCTACATAGTAAGTTCAAGGACAGCCTGGACTACACAGCAAGACTCTATCTCAAAGAGAAAGAAAGAAAGAAAGAAAGAAAGAAAGAAAGAAAGAAAGAAAGAAAGAAAGAAAGAAAGAAGGAAAGAAAGAAAGAAAAGAAGGAAGAAAGAAAGAAATACTGACTTGTGTTCCACTGTGTATCTATAGCAAGTTTTCCTTGCCTGCTCATCCTTTGACGGACATTCAGGTTGATTTCATACCTTCACTGGTTGTGAATATACGTGAACATGGAATGCAGATGTCTCTTTGACATACTGATTGCACAGCTTTGACTATGTACCTAGTAGTGGAATTGTGGGATCACATGGTGCCTCTGTTTGTAAGTTTTTGAGGAAATTCCATGCTATTTTCCACAATAGCTGTAGCTTCATGAACTTTGATGTGAGATTCCCCTACAAATTCATTGACTGGGCTGCAGACCATGAACACTGACACTCCTGCCCAGATGCTACAAAATCCTTACCCCAAGTCACATCACACAGATGCCACCATCCAAGCCCCACTAGTGGGGGAGTCAAATGGCTTCAGCAGCTGGGCCCTGCTGGTTTGAAGGATTAGCGCATTAGAGAACGCAGAAGTCCTCCCAGTTGGCTTTGTGACATAGATCTGGGCACTGCTTTTGGCCCCCATCCTCTGCATGTATAAGGAGTTCTCGCAGATGAGCCTACTTCCATGTGGGCTCAAGGGCCAGGCTCTGCGAAAGGAAACTCCTCCTAACCCTCTCTAGGTTTGCTTCTCAGTGTACAGGATGTGTCCTTCACACCCACCCCTTCCTGTTCTAGTCTCTTCCCACTCAACAAACTATTTAACATCTCCTGGATGCTAGACAGAGTGAGGGATCCAAAGGGAAAGACACTGGACTTATGCCCTCCAGGGTATTCACAGCTGGCCAGGGAGAAATTCAGGTCTACCAGAAGGAGGAAGTGAGGCAGCAGGCAATTTCTCTCTGCTTCGGGGGTGGTCACAAAAGTCTGAGTCCACTCAGGAGCGCTTAGAGGCGAGGTGGGCCACATTTTTTTTAAACTGAGATGATGCACAGTTGCTCTAGAGCACATGGTTGTAGTGGTAGCTTCTCGATCCTCCTGATTATGCCCAGAAGGGTGACTAGATCCTTAAGCCAAACATCAGTGCCTACTAGAGGCCACCCTAGCCTGACCAAGAGCTCCCCCAATAAATTTTGTGGCAACACATATCCTCTCTCTCAGCATTTTCTCTAAAAAAAAAGATGGCTTATTTTATTTTATTATTTTTGAAAGGGAGTCTTGCTGTGTTGCCCAGGTTGGTCCCAAACTCCTGGGCTCAGCGATCCTCCTGACTCACCCTCCCAGGTGGCTAGGACTAGAGGTGTCTGCCACTGCACCCACATGATGGCAGCAGGAATGACACAGTGCCACTCTTGGGTGCCCGAATCAGTGCTGCTGCCCCAACCACAGGAGGCCAAGGCCTCTGAGTGAGGTCTGGGGAAGAGTGTGGCGTGCTCAGGCTCTAAGGAGAGCAGCAGGACCTCCCACAATTTCAAGGTGCAGAAAGGGTGTTCTCCAAACACAGAAAAGGGTTCAGATGCACGTGGTCAAAAAGAACAATGAAGGGCGCTGGGGATTTAGCTCAGTGGCACAGCGCCTGCCTGGTAAGCCCAAGGTCATGAGTTGGATTCCTGGTACCGGAAAAAAAACAAAAACAAAAACAAACAAACAAAAAAGAACAATGAAGACCCCCATAATTAGTAGAAGACTTTTATTTTGTGTCACATCCAAGGACAGCAAGTTGATAGGAGTGGCTTTATCTGTTGTTAAATGCTAAATGTGGCAGAACCTCAGGCGCTGTGGGAAAGGCACTGAGTTCCACCAGCCTGTCTAGTCTTCCTTTCTTCCTCACCTGGGCCACGTCAATGACCAGCAACTGCCAAGCTAGGGCTGGGGACTCCGGGACAAGCGCCAGGAAAGCAGGGGCCCAGCTCAGTACTGCCTCTGCAGGAAACGCAGGGCCACCTTCTTATTGGGAACCAGGACGATGCGGCCCATAGCCTCCAGCTCCCCTGTCTCAGGCGCCAAGACCACCTCGTAGTGCTGCATCAGCTGGTGGAGACAAAGCACACGGGGGCTGTGGGGGTTTGTTCTCTGCCCACTGTCCCCCTCTTCACACTGCTTCCCTGAACCTCCCTGCCTCTCCTCCCTACCAACCCCTTCGCCCCTCCCTGACCTGCCAGCCTCTCCCCACCTCCCCACTCACCCTTGCCAGCAGCAGCTTCATCTCCAGCTCTGCAATCCTGCGGCCCAGGCAGCCCCGGACCCCATAACCAAAGGGCACAGAACCAAATGGGTGTTGGGCCTTAGCAGCATCCGCCTTGTTCTCCCTCAGCCAGCGGTGAGGCCGGAAGCTCTCAGGATCGTGAAAGATGCTGGGGTCCCGGGACACCACATAGTGGCACAGCACAAACTGGGTCTACAGAGCAAGAACAGGCATCATGAATCCATTGACACAGGTCTGTGGGCCCTGCTGGGCAACTGGGCGCTCCAGCCTCACTCACGTTCTTGGGGAACACATAGCCATCAATTTCAATTTCCTTTTCCATGATGACTCGTGAGTTTGTGGGGACCACCGGGTAGAGGCTGCAGGGAAAAAGAAAGTCTAGGGTCTGCCTCCAGATCCAAGAGGGGGCAGAGTCCCACTCCTCCCTTTCCTCTCCGGTGCCCCTGCCCCTTACCCACCACCCTTGTTCCTAGCTGAAGCCCACCAGCCGCCCTACCCCCTGTTCCTGACCCACACATAGACTCTGTGCTCTAGGAATCACATCGTACCGCAGGGTCTCCTTAATCACAGCTCTGAGCAGGGGCATGTGGGCAAAGTCCTTGTGCTGCGGCACCTTCCCTGGGGGTGCCACACCCACCACTTCTTTGTGCAAGGCTGTCTGGACCTCTGGGTTCTTTGAAAGGTGGTACAGGCCCCACGCCAGTGTGTTGGATGTCTAGGAGGGAGAATAGGAGAGAAAGTAAAGGGAGATTTCTAGGAGAAGAGCCCAGCTGGGAGGTAGGAAGGTATATGAGTGGGTGCATGCAACATTAGGAAGGTCTTACTTAGCCACAAGTATGGCAGGAACAGAGATGTGGGTTCATGGCAACATTCGTGCTAAGCATGAATCTACAGCAGGATAAGGTCAGAGGAGACAGTAAGAAGCAGAAGCCCACATGACAAAAGGGTCCTCTACAGACAGGAGGTGCTCATGGGCCAGGTTCCAACTCTACTTCAAGTGTGATGAGACAAAGTTGGAATTGATATGAATGAAACTCTATAGATATGCGAGAGCAAAAGGGGCCCAGCAGGTGATGACGAGATTCTCTTTATACTGAAAGACCAGCCCTAGCAGGGTCGCAGCAGCATATGCCTATAATCATAGTATTCTGGGAGGTTGGGGCAGAATGATTGCAATTTCACCCCAGGCTGGGCAACTTAGTGACTTAGCAAGACCCTATCTCAGAATAAAGAAAACTAAAAAGGCTGAGGTTATAGCTCAGAGTGAAGGCCCTGGGTTCCATCCCCAGTATGCTGGCTTCAGCTGGGCTGAACGACTGTTTTCCCCTTAGCACTGCATCCAGGTTACAGAAAGAGCTGAAGCTCTATGGAGTGATGAAGGTCAGGCCCAGGCAGGGGATCACAGGGAATCAGTTCAAACATGAGCTGGAAGCCCTTGGTCTCCCTGTTGTCCTGCTCACACACCGTGTCCACACCAGCCAAGAGCAGCTCAGGCAGGCTGCCCAAGGCCTCACGAGGGCTGAGCAGCCCACTGGACAGCAGGAAGTGTAGGTAGCCGGATATCTGGACCCCATCTGGTCCTGCTGCCTGTAGTTGGGCCTCCACTTCTTTGAATTTCTGATCAATCAACTTTTTTCCTGCAGGGGCAATGGAGAACAGGGGAGGATGAGGTCATGCTGCTCTGACAGCTGCTGGCATGAGGGAGAAGGTCCCAGGAGAGATTGGGAGAGGCACAGACCTGGGAGTCAGCCCCAGCTTCCTTCCCTGTGCCCCCTGGGACACCTCACCAAAGACGAAGATGGTGTTCCAACCATCCAGGTATCGCCTCCAGAAGGGCAGCAGGGGACGGGTCCACTTGGGGAGGAAGGTGACATAGACTGAGTTCTGGAACATGTGCCCAACAGATCTGATGAAGTTCACCGTATCCTCAGGGATGGACGGTTCCAGGCAACCAATGCGCTTCTCAAACAGGATGTAGCAAATAGCTAGGAAGTGCAGAGGCCATCACAGGAGGCAGAGCCAGGGAACGCAGAATCCAGGGGACATTGAGGAGGGGAGCACAGCCTACCCCGACGCATTCCTGCTCCCAGCCCCTCTCCCAGCAAGGGTACCTTCCAAGGCAAAGTGGTAGAAGAGGTGAGCCACGTCCGGCACCTGATCGCCCGAGGCACTCTCTGCCCGAATCTGGTTCAGCCGAACAATGAAGTCATCAATCACCTCATTTAAAGCATCTGTGTACAGCACCGCCTCAGCTGGTTTCAGCATCCGCTGGTTCAGAGCCTGGCGCAGCTGGTACCACTGATGTCCTTCCCTGTGGGACATGGAGAGGCAACACAAACATTAGCGTCAATCAGAGGGTTTCGTCCCACCCTGAGACCCCCATAGAGTTGAGAAAAATCTTTCTCCCAGCATTTAGAATTACACAATGACCAAGCTTTAAATAATAGAATCTCAGAACTATAAAAGCTCAGGATCTCACAGTGGAAGTGAGTAAAGTGGGCATCTAGAATCAAATCACAGGTCTGATGATCACTAGCTGAGTGACCTAAGGCAGGTAACTTAATTCCAGTATGCCTCAGTTTCCCCACATGAAAACTGGGCATAATAGAAATGCCCATCTTAGTGAGCTTGTTCAGGTTATTAGAGTGCATAGATCAGTGCCTGGCATACAATGAATTCTTAATGAATGTAGACTATTAGTATCTTAGAATTATACAACTCCAGAATCTTCCATATGTGAAATGAGGGAAAGCTCCAGTATTCCACTTGCTCTGGGAGGAGAGAAAATTAGGGTTTTTGGATTCCTCGGGTTCTGAGTCTTCATGTTCTGCTTGGCTCAGTCGGTCAAGGGGACAAAGCGGCTGAGGCCACAAAGCCATGTGCCAAATCCATGCAGTAGATGGTTAGGCAAGGTTGCTCAGAGGGGTGGGAACATGCTTCCCATGTGGGACAGTGTTGGGGGGCTGCCCTACCCAGCTAACCAAGCTGGGTCCACATCCATTTTTGAAAATGTATTTGCAAAGCAGTAAATGCAATGTGGTTCAGTTTTAAGGAGGAAGGAAATACTGCACATGCATCTGCATGTTTCTAGGTGAAGCAGGGAAGAATACACATCACACTGCCAGCACTGGTACCTTCGGAGGTGACATGGGAGTGCAGGGGAGATTTAGTGTTTATTGTTGAATTTTTTATGATGAGTATTACTGAATTTTAATGAAGTTTTAAGAAAAACAAATTTTATTTTAAAAACTCATTTAACAAAACTCAACCCCTATCTCCACAGCCAGGAGCTTATTGTGTCAGGACGGCTACAAAAAGATTAACTAAAAGTATTGCTTAAGAAGAAATGACAATCAAAATAGATCTGTTTACTGGAACTTAGGGGTGTAGGAACTGTTCCAATAGTAAAACTCCCAGCACAGCTGAAACTGGATTTACAGAGCTTAAAGGAAAGCATTTCTGGAGATTTTAAGCCATTTCTTGGGAAAATAATGCTCATGAAGAGAGAGTTAAAAAATATACATATTAAAATAAAACAAGAAAAGTCAAAGTATTTTGTGTTTGGTTTTGTTTTTAGACAGGGTCTAACTATGCAGTCTAGACTGGCTTCAAACCCATAATCCTCCTGACTCAACCTCCCAGAGTGCTGGGACTACAAGCATGTATCACCATGCCGAACTGCAAAATAGCTCTTAAATGCATATACTTGATAAAATATATTTAGAAAATTGGCTTTAGAGTAAATATAAATAAATAGATCACAAAGGAATCTATATAATATTCAGCTCCTATTCTAAATCTGAGCTGTTAAGTTAGAGGTGGCCAGGCCCGATAAAAATGACACCCAACCTTGCCTTCAGAGTCAGGTTTCAAGTTAAAGGGCTTTAAAGAACAGACTTGAGGGGCTGGGGATTTAGCTCAGCGGCAAAAGCGCCTGCCTGGCAAGCGCAAGGTCGTGAGTTCAGTTCCTGGTACCGGAGAAAAAAAACCTAAAAAAAAAAAAAAAAGAACAGACTTGGGGCTGGGGATATAGCTCAGTGGCATAAGCGCCTACATGGCAAGTGCAAGGTCCTGAGTTTGATTCCTGGTACAAAAAAATAAAGAACAGACTGTGTTCTGTTCTCAGAACTTTAAATATGGGCGCCAGAATTGTTTTAATTTTGAAACTATCCCTTAAGGAACCAGGAAAAAAACATGCAATGAGAGAATAAATATATGGACAGGAAAGATACATAAAAAGTATCCTCTGACCAATTCTTTTTCTTTCCCAAAATGTCAATGTCATAAGTTCTTGAGTTCTGGAACTAGGGAGAGCTACTGCATTGCCAGCTACTTATGTCACCTCTGACATGTAATGTAAAACCTTTCCAGGCCGCAGTTTCTTCATCCAATAATGCTATCCACTCATGGGCTTGTTGTAAGCATAAAAGGCAATCATAAATACAAAGAGACTATCCTGGTGCCTGGTGTGTCATGAAGATATAGTTATTTTCATTACTGTACTGGTGACTTCCACACTAGGATCAATTTGAATCCCTTGAGAAGTGACTAAAACATGGTTGTCAAGTTGATCATGATCAATAAATTTATTTATTGGTTTTGGAGTTCTGTTAAGAAATCTTGTGATATAACCACTTACAACCAGTGGCCTAAGGAATGGTTTATCACAAATGATGCTCCTTTATCTACGTCCATTTGCATGGAAGTAAATAATATACTCAGTCTATCTTTCATTTTGCCACTGCCAAAATAATTAACTTTTAAAAGCATTACTGAAAACTGCATCTATCTCCATGTGTAGAAAATGTCTGTGGAAGTTACAGTCAATAATGTATGTACAATACATGATTTTGGAAATATTTTTTAATTAAATAATCTTCCCAACTAATAGGGTAATGACACTTTCTCAATTGTAAATTGACTTCTTTTGAACCATAATGTAGAAAAATGGATCTGAAAAGCCTGTAGGGATACCTTGGAGACACTCTAATGAGGCTGGATCTCTTACTTTACAGATCAGAAACATAAGCCAAGGAAAGGAAAGTCATTCACTTGCCCACAGTGAATCATTCACTTGGATAAGTAAATGTATTAGTAGAAAAGCCAATGAATGGTCCCTGTGTCTCAGCCCACCCAAGGACTGTTTTCCAAGGTTGAGTATTGGGCTCAGAGGATACAGGGAGATCCCACTCTGCCCTTTACCCTACTAGTGCCCTATTTCTACTCTCTTTTGACCTGGTCCTCTGGGGCCCTGTTCCAGTCCCTCTGGGCCCCTGCTCACGTGGTGAAGAGCCCGTATGGCAGACTCTGATGATCCCGGTGTGCCTTCCATAGCTCCATAGAGTCCCTTGTGGGGTACTTGTCCTCCTGCCGCATCACTTGCTCCAAAAGTGGGGCGCTGGCCAGGTTCACTAGGAGTTGAGGGCCCGTGGTAGATGTCCATATTGGACCATACTTGGCCTTGGTCAGCATCTGTGGGGTTCAACCAAAACTGAATAACTGGAGCCCAGCTGGGTGGGCATTTCTGGGAGAGGGCATGGGGTAAAAGCGGGGATCTGATGGCTATACTACAGCAAGTGGGCTGGGCAAAAGTGCATTGTGTGAGCAGGTAGGCACTGCCATGGCCAGTGATTCTAGAGGCAGAATACTGAAAAAATGGCCACACAAAGGGCAAGAATATTGAGAGGGATAATCTGGTGGAACTGAGGTTCTTGGAGGATATGTGGGAGAATGGGATAATTGGAGGTGGGTACTGGGACCTGGCATATTATGGAAACAGAGCTCTTTCGGGAAGTGAGCTAGAAAGCTCACAATTTCTTCTTATCATTTAAGTCTACTGCAGCTTGCAGCTTCATGGAGATAAAGATAAACATGTTATGTAATCAACCAGAAAAGTAAAACATGATGAGAAAGTCCAAGGGAAAAAAATAAGCAGATGACAAAGGCAGAGTCCAAATATGAACTAGGCCAGGCCACGTGATATATATTTTTTTAAAAAAACAGAACAAAACAAAAAAAGTGTTGGTTACATTATGTAAGTCTCAGATATTTTCTCTTAAGGGCTAAAGATGTAGCTCAATAGTAAAGTGCTTGCATGGCATGCACAAGGCCCTGGATTCCATCTCCAACACTGAAAAAAAATGTATCTTAGAATTTCTTCAAGCTGGACATGGTGGCGCATGCCTGTAATCCCAGCACTCTGGAGGCTGAGACAGGAAGATGGCTGCAAGTTCGAGACCAGCCTGGGCTACAAAGTGAGGTCAAGGCGAGCCTGAACTGCATAACGAGACCCTGTCTCAAAAAGACCAAAAAAAAAAAAAAAAAAAAAGAATTTCTTCAGCACTTGGTAACTGATATTCATTACATGTATGAAACTGACACTCTACCATGTATTTGTAGTTGAAAGTGAGAAAGAAAATAAATATATTTTGTTAGTGGGAGGGCAAAACTTAAAAAGAATTCACAGCACTGAAAGAAAATCTACTGGTTACCCACAACTGAAAGAAAATAAAACACAGTGATTTCTCAAGTACTTCCTCTTTCGTAATTGTTACTGAAGAGATTTTAAGATGATCACAGTCTGCTCAAGTACAAAAATTAGGCTTGGAGCACAATCTGTTAATATCAAAATTCTGTTAAAAAGACACTAAAGTTACAGAAAAAAGATCTGTTATTCATATTACAAAAGAAAACATCACCCAGGGCTGGGGATTTAGCTCAGTGGCAAAGTGCCTGCCTGGCAAGCGCAAGGTCATGAGTTCAATTCCTGGTACCAGAAGAAAAACAAAAAACAAAAAACAACAAAGAAAACATCACCCAATTTAGGGTCCAGAAAATACCCCAGTCATACTGTATCTCACTATTGGCCTTAAAAATAGGGTTCTCAGTTGGGAGTGGTGGTACTCTCTTGTAATCCCAGCACTCAAGAAGCTGAGGCAGGAGAATTGCCAAGAGTTCAAGGTCAGCCTGGGTTACATAGCAAGTTCAAGGCTAGCCTGAACTAAGTGGGAGAGCTCATCTTAATTTTTTTTTTTTTTTTTTTTTTTTTTTTTTTGGTACCAGGCATTGAACTCATGACCTCACACTTGCCAGGCAGGTGCTGTGTCGCTGAACTATATCCCCAGCCCCACATCTCAAAAAAAAAGGGATTCTCTTGGGACCACTGCAACACAATTGCTCCCAATAGGTCACTCCATTGCCCAGAATCTACCCTGACTGATTCTGCCCGTTGCCTGGAAGACAGTCTCGACAAACCCCCAACACCTGTTTAGGTTTGTTTCCCACTTCAGCCTCTCAGTAGCACCTGCCGGTGAACAGCTGATTGTCTGTACACTACAGTGCATAGGCCTATTTCCCTTCAGGAAAATAAACAGACACATGCATGGCTGGTGGGAGTCTAAAATGATACATCCCTACTTGGAGCACAATTTGTTAATATAAAAACCACTAACAAATTTACAGAGTATGGGACACCCACATAATAGAATAATATTGTCAACTTTTAAAAAGGGACAAAGAAGCTTCTGATACTAAAGTGTATACTAATGTGTATTAATATAGAAAGACACCTAAAATCAATTATTACATAAAAAGTATAGCACCTTTTATCTAAAAGAGAGGGGTTAAATAAGAACATTTGCCTTTGTAGAGAAATACTGAATGGATACACAAGAAATTACTAAAGTGATTTCCTTCAAGGAGAAGTAGGTACAGCGGTGGGAATAAAACTGCTTAATATATATCACACTACATTGTTTTGAATTTTGAACAGTGGGAATGCATTTTTAAATCTAAAGGGGAATAAAAGAAATAATATTTCCTGGGACACTAATTCACCCACCATTGATCATATAATTCCCAAAGGCAGGAAGACCTGGACGAACCCCGCTGAATTTATCTGTATGCTACCTAGATTTGTAAGTGGACTCTGACCAGATTCATTTTGCTATAAATGAATTTTATTTACTTTTCTTAAAGTTCACATTTTAATTTTTTAATTTATAAAATTCGATTAATCAATAGCTCACTTTCTCCACAAAAATTATATAAGGCCTTAAAAGGAATTAACATTATTATATAAACCAACAATTATTTATAAAGTATATCTCTGTTGTACAATGATTATTTTTAATTAAGTTTATTGGTACATTTTAGATATATGTAATGATAGCATTCATCATAGGGAATTGTACCTGTACTGTGACATATCTTGATTCTTTTTTTTCCCATTCCCCTCCCCTCCCTTCAACCTCTCTTCCCCTCCTTATTTATGTTTTGTTTCCATTTTTCCTTCTTTTCTCATTTTTTTCTTTTCTCTTCCTTTCTTTCTCCATCTACGCCAACCCACCACCACCATTTCCCTTCCCATTTGAACATTTTCTTCCTATTTCACAATACCTATTATACATTTTGGTCCTTATTTACATTTTCAGTTTCTCACATCAGAGAAACAATGTGGTATTTACAAATATGTGTCCTGTTTATTTCACTTAAGAGTATGGTCTCATGGTGCACCCATTTAGCTAGAAGTGTCCCAAGCTTATCATCTTTTATGGTAGAGTAATATTTTGTTATATATATATATATATATAAAACACATCTTTATCCATTCATCAGTTGATGGGCATTTGATCAATGCCACTATAAACATGGGTGTGCATACATAGCTCTAGTGTGATGCTTTTAATTCTTTCAGGAAGATACTAAAAAGAGGAATAGCTAGATCAAATGGAATCTCTAGTCCTAGTGGTTTCCACAGTGGTTGCACCAGTCTACACTCCCACCAACAGTGGAGAAGGCTTCCTTTTTCCCCACAGCCCCACCAGCATTTGTTATTGGTTGATTTCTTGATGATAGCCATTCTTTCCAGGGTGAGATGGAATCTCAGTATTGTTTTAATTTGTATCTCTCAAATGACCCATGATGTTGAGCATTTTTTCATATATTTATTTGCTGTTTGTACTTCATCTGAGAAGTATCTGTTCATCTCAGATGCCCATTTCTGGATTGGGTCTTTACATTTAGGGGGTCTGATTTTTGTGAGTTCTTTATATATTCTCAATAGTAATTCTTTGTCTGAGGTACAGCTGGCAAACATTTTTTCCTGTAGTGTGGATTGTCTATTCACTCTGTTGATGGTTTTTCTGGCTGTGCAAAAGCTTTTTAATAAGATGAGATCCCAGTTGTTGATTGCATTTCTACTTTACTTTAGTGCATGGTGAAAGATATGGATCTAGTTTTAATCTTTGGCAAGTGGAAAGGTAGTTTTTCCAGCACCATTTATCAAGGAGACTATCTTTCAGTGATGGTATCTGGGCTCCTTTCTCAAAGAGAAGGTGACTGTGTTTGGAGTTGTTTCTGCATCTTCTAATCTGCTGCACTGATCCTTGGGGCTGTTTTTTCTGCTAGTACCATGCTGTTTTATCACAGTAGCTTTGTAATAAGTATAGTTTCAAGTCAGGGATCATTAGGCACCCCCCCTTTTGTCTTTTTTGTCCAAAATTGTCTTTCAGGTTCCAAATGAATTTTAAGATTGTTTTCTCTAATTCTATGTGATACGCTGTTAGAATTTTGATCAAAATTACATTAAATCTGTATGACAGTTTTGAAAGTACGGCCATGTTCACTATAGTGGCCCTTCTTACCCAAGAACAAGGGATAGCTTTCCATTTTCTGATATTCTCTTCAATCTGTTTTTTTTTTTTTTGCAGTACTGGGGATCGAACTCACAGCCTTGTGCTTGCCAGGTAGGTGTTTATGCCACTGACCTATATCCCCAGCCCCTCTTCAATCTGCTTTTTCAGAGTACCACAATTTTTCAATGTAAAAATTTCCATTTTTAAAAAAACATTTTATATACAGATCTTTTCCCCCATTAAGTCTCTTGGGAGACTTATCCCCAAAATAGGCTTAGTTTGTGTTTCCAGTTCAGTGTAAAGTATTAGCAATAATTACACTTATTTTCATAGAGCTGACCATAAACCATACACCCTACCAAGAACTTTACTTATATTGGCTCACTTATCCCTCAATAGAGTTAGATGAGGTAGATTTAATATTATCACAATTTGAAGATTAGGAACCTGAGGAACAAAGAAGTTGCCCAAGGTCACTTCACAGGTTAAGTGGCAGAGTCAGGGTCTAAATCCACACTACCTGGCTGGGCACCACTCTTAAGCACTTACTCCACTGATCCCTGACTTAATAGCCAGAAATCTTTCACAAACTGACTATGTCCTTTTAACTGGAAACAAACTTAGGCCTCTTAGACTTATATGCTATTTTAAAACCACAGTAACTATGCAGTACCCTAATGTCCCCACTGTGTTTACATTTGGGGATGGATCATTCCATGCTCTAGGAGACCATCCTATACAATGCAAGCTGGTTAACAGCTCGCCTGGCCTCTATTCAGTAGTAGTCGCTAAACTGAGAAAATAAAAAACGTCTCTAGACATTACCAAAGAATCCCA